TATATATATATACATATACATATGTTGTTTTCTGGGATTATGATTAGGTTGTGTTTGATTGTTGTTTTCAAATTTTGTGTGGAGTTTCCTCTTCCCTTGCTAAGGGTGGTGCTTCGGCTATATCCTGCTCTGAGATGGTGTTGTATCCCTTCTGATCTCCTCCTTACCCCCTCTAGCCATCGGCCTACTTCCTCTCTGCTCCCTCCAGCCCTCTAACAGCTGGCCGCACCCTTCCCAGTTGGTTGTCCACCTAGCCAGCCACCCCTTAACTGTAGCTATCCTTGCTGTCCAGCCCGTCCTACCATCACCCAACACCCTGTCACTTCCTTCCTTGCAGCCTTCCTTGTCGTCCCCTCCTGCGGCCCTCAAAACCACCCACTAACTCCCTTCCCAACCTACCGTATAGCCACCAAACCTTCCCCTTCTTCTTGCCGCTTCGCCGACGCCACCACCGCCCTCAGATCTTCTCTTATGGCCCTAACCGGAGGTTGTTGTTGTCGTTGTGTCATATTTCTGATTTGAGCCTCGATCCCTTTACTTAATAAATTTTGTTTTCGTTTACGTTGTTTTGAACTAATTCTGGTATCACATAGATTAAAAAAAAAAAAAATGTATAGCTAGGTATTCTTCTCAAACTTCTACTAACATTTGCTCGTAAATTTATGTCTCCTCATCTCATGGATGCCGGTCTTTCATGACTGAACCACATAGTTCACATCTAAATTATCAAGATACAAAAAAACTAATTTAGTAGAATACATATTAAAATATTTTCTGGCACTTCTAAGAATATCAACATATAAATGCACAAATAGTAGAACAACTGCTTAGACTACTAAATGAGCAAAAGAGTGGAAAATCACCGTTCTGGCATTAGAATAATGTGAGCCATAATGGAATTTGGGGATGTTGGGATCATCAAAGGTAGAGTACTTCTCTTGGAACTTCTTTAGCCTGTCAGGATTTAGAGCACCAATTGGCTGTATCATAGAACTATAAAAGTCAAACAAAATGCTAAACCAATGGAAGGCAGAAATATTAAAAACACAATTCCCATAGATACCTTTGAAAGATCTCTATAAGAACAAGGATCATCAAGGTTTAATGTTTTAGAATAATAATCTGCCAAGATCCATGGAAAAATAGGATACTGCAGATAATACAGGAAGTTAAGAGTATGAACTGTGAAATACTCTCAAAAGATCATTAACATAATAATTAGTAAATTAACCTGTGTGATGTCATTGTAACTACGGCCAGCCAAGGTGTTGAGTTCCATTAGATATTCAAAATTGCTAATCTGCGGCAAGAAGTAAATGAAATCATGAATTTGCTTTATCAACTGTAAAATGGCATGCAGACCATAAGGCTTCTTACCTCCCACCTGGCCCAACGATCCATAAGCTGACTTTCTCTATAAATCTGCTCAGGTCTCTACAACAAATTGTGGATATCCACACAGCTATGGTTAAGTTGCACATTAAAATATAAAAAGAGAAAATAATCAAAATGGTATGATGCCTCTTTGTCGGGAGTCATTTTAGTCTCAAGGGTCTATAGAAGTGTCAATTTAGTCCCCAGACTCTTTTAAAGGGGGCTAAATTAGTCCTTTCAATCCATATTAAAATAATTTGAGGACCAATTTGGCACTTTTAATGACTCTAAAACTAAAATGACCCCATCTAAATAGTCAAGGGACTATTTTGGCACTTTACTCGTTAAAAAAGAGTGTTTGAGGCAAAAGAAGAGCTAACCTTTGCTGTGAAAAAGATATCATGCACATGAGGCGGGCGTGCCTGAATGATGCCACGAAATGCATTCTTACATCCTTCAATACTCTGAAACAAATAAAAAATAGAAACTACTTTATATATGCAAAAAGGGCCAGCTGATACTCTTAACGCTTCAAGTACACATTAATTTCTCTCTAGGTTCATAATTTTTGCATCGTCAAAGTGGTACAAAACGCCATGGATCATATGTTCTATTTTGACTAAATCCTTACAGAATGTTAGAATAGAACCAAGATGATCTTATTAATGCAAAGAGGGGTATAAATATCATTAGAGGATTTAAGGCAACAAATAAAAACAAAATATTAATACAAAATAAATAAGAGCAAATCAAAACAATTAATACAAAATTCTGCATATTAATATTCTAATATTATGATACTCCCTCTTAAATTGAAGCATAGATGTCAATCATGTTCAACTTGAATTTGAAATCATCGAACAGTGGCCGAGAAGGTTCTTTGTTAGAATATTTGTTAGCCGACCACTAGACGACAAAAATGGAACACAATTTTCCCCAGGCTCAAACTTTTTCTTAATGAAGTGGTGACCAATCTCAACATGCTTAGTGCGATCATGTTGGACCGGGTTGTGAGCAATACTAATGGCAGTCTTGTTACACAGAACAATTGGAGGGGAGTGGAGACAATCATACATAGTTCGTGGAGCATGATGTGTAACCAAAGTTCTTCACAAATTTTCAGGGATGTGGACTGAAATTTGGCTTTCGTACTGCTATGAGAAACTACAGACTGCTTCTTGAAACAGGTTGCCTCGCACAAATGAGCGGTATTCCGAGGTAGATCGCCGATCATAAACCAACAGGGCCGAATTTGCATCTATGTAAACTTCAATAGAATGATAAGTGTGGCTAGAAAAAAACAAACTTGAGCCTGGTGTGCCTTTTAAATAGTGGACAACTTAAAGGTGGTGCTCATAGGGATTATGCATGAATTGACTGACTATTCCAATTGCGTGGCATATGTCGAGGCGTGTACGGGCAAGGTAGATGAGCTTCTCCACAAAATGTTGGTACTGAGTCTTGATTACAGCAACTGAGTTGGGAACATCAAGAAGTTTTTCATTGGGATCCATCTGGACGGCCACTGGTTTGCATAAGAGAAGATTGCTCTCTGTTAAAAGGTCAATCACATATTACCGTTGAGACAGACAAATACCTTGAGAAGACCGAGTAACTTCTATGCCTACGAAGTACCGGAGAGATCTCAAGTCTCATTTCCAAGTAAGCATTAATTATGCCTTTCAGGGAGATAATTTCTTGTGAGTACTATATCATCAAAATTAACAATAAGGACAAGTACATTGCCACTAGAGGAGTGCCAAAAGAAGAGAGTGGTCTGATTGAGTCTAAGTGAATTCATGATCTACCACCACTTTTGTGAATTTCCCGAACCAAGCTCATGATTATTGCTTCAACCCATAAAGGGATTTTTGCAGTCTACATACTTGCCATTGGGAGGCAATGAAGTCAAAGATTGGAGGAAGAACCATATATACCTCCTCTATAATATTGTCATTCAAAAACACATTCTTAACATCAACCTGGGATAAGGGTCAATCTAGAATTACTGTAAGGGATAAGAGGATCCGAATGGTGTTTGATTTAGCAACTGGCGCAAAAGACTCCTCATAATCAACTCCGCAGGTCTGTGAGTATCCTTTAGCAGCCAATCGTGTCTTGTTGCGTTCAAAGGATTCATCAGATTTAAACTTGATGCTAAAAATCTATCGGCATCCTACTGCTTTCATGCCTCGAGAAAGATCAACAATGTCCCTGGTATGGTTCCACTAAAGAGCATTTATCTCCTTCATGACGACAGTTTTCCAAGTAAGGTCTGCTTAGATTGAAGCTAATGATTGGTTAGGGCCGTAGTAAATGCTTTGTAGGTGGGTAATAATCTGCGAAAAGAGACAGTTTACCAAAGGATGGAGAGAGCATGCCTGATTGTGTAACTTAATAGAGAAGTTGGCTTCCTCATTTGGAGGAGCAGTGCTGCAAATGTTTTCAAGAGGGGATTCAGAGTCCCACAAGGGGTTAACGAGCTCTAGAGTAGGTGCATCAGAACGAGTGCGTCAAGTATAGACACAGAAAGTGGGACCATGTGCTGGTGGAATCAGAGGGAGAGAGGACTCCTTGGTGGTAGGAGAAATGGGTGTGACCAAAGGAATAAAGGGTCATTGATGGTAAGTAATGTAAGGGGGACATTCACATGAATGGGGTAAGGAACAATGTTCACGAACTCTACTCCCCCCCTCACCGGAGGCTGAGGTAGGAAAGTAAGGAACACTTTCAAGAAAGGAGCCATCAACACTCGTATAGACCTTATTTGTGGTAGAGTCAATGCACCGATACCCCTTTTGAGTAGCAGGGTATTTTAGAAAAACACATTTTATGGGCATAGGATCAAGTTTACTCCTAGTTGGGGATGTGTTCCGGACAAAAGTTGTGCACCCAAATATTTTGCGATCTAAAGTGAAGAAGACCCAATTGTGAGGAAAGCACGAACTTAAGACGACTAAAGAGGTAAGAAAGTTGTGAATTTTTTAGGGAACTTCATTGATGATATAAGTGGCAGAAAGAATGACATCATTGTAGAAACGTTTTATGACATTAGAGTGAAACTTAGTGGATTAGTAACGTCGATGACATGTCAGTTTTTTTCTCTTGGTTACCCCATTTTGTTGAATAGTGTCAGTACAAGAGCTATATGTCCCAACATACCACGAATTCTCCTAATATAGAGTTAAAAAATTCATGACCAATGTTAGTCTGAAGGATTTGAATAGGAGTTTTGAATTGGGTCAAAATAAGTGTGTGAAAGTTTTTGAAAGTGATAGCAGCTTCAAATTTATTATTTAAAAAATAGTCTTGTGTCATCCGAGTATGATCATCAATTAAAGTAAGGAATCACCGTTTATTAGTATAGTTAAGAGTGCGAGAGGGTCTCCATAAGTCACTATGAATAAGAGAGGAACGAAAGACGTGTAATTATGGGATGGATAACGAACATAATAATATTTACCTAACTGACAGGTTTCACATTTGAAATTAGAAATATTTTTATTAGTCAATATCAATAGATACCACTGTTTTAAGTTCTGGAAACAATGATGACCCAAACGAGAGTGTATAATAGAACATTCATTGAAAAACTACAACTATTGGGTGGAGTGTCCTCATTCTCCGTGTTTTTCTCTTAAAAAAAGTAAAGCTCTTCAACCCGCTTAGCAGTTCCAATCATCCTCGTCGAACGGCAATCCTGAAAGACACAGACATCAGAGAAAATATGAGCAACGCAATCAATGTCATTTGTCAGTTTACTTGCAGATAAAAGATTACATTTCAACAGAGGTACATTTAACACAGATTCCAGAATTAGATCTGTTGTTAAAACAACAGACAATTTATCAGCAATGAAGACTCGTCAGCAATTTTAATAGTACATTTCCTTAAGCAAGGGTAGTATGTCGAGAAAGTTTGAGAACTTCTAGTCATGTGGTCTGTGGCATCTGAATCAATGATCAACAGACAGACTAGAGGGGGCAAAAGAAAGAAGTATCATAGAATTAGTACCTTGACGAACATGGGAATTCAACGGGTCGGAAGAGAGCAGACCAGATCCAAGCAACTTGATTAAGGGCTCCATTTAACTTTTAAGAGAGTTGGAGGAATATGGATTGTTCTAAGTAGAGGCTTGCAGTACCGTGTTGGATTCAGATGTCGTAGAGAGACCTTGGCAATTGAAGATTTGGCTGAAGGTCTCAACATTTATCACGAGTGTGATTGGGTTTGCAACAATAATCACAGGTGGGATGACCAACTCGGGTTTGAGAACTATTATAGATCAAGGCGAATGCTTCAACTGACGCAGTAGAAGCACCAAGTATGACAAGCCTTCGGCTCTCTTCACGACAAATCTCAATGAAAGCAGCACGAGTCAAAATAAGAGGATCCCGACCACGGATACGTCCCAGGACTTCGTCAAGATCTCTGTTGAGGCTAGTTAGAAATTGAAACATGATATAATTTTTTAGAATTTCTGGAAGAGAGATAGGTCGACAGGAGATTCCCAAGTGTAGTGATAATATAAGTAGCATTCCATTCATAATGCAACTAGGTCCTTGTAGTACTGGGTTACAATCCTGGATCCTTGTCTTGCCTCATAGATTTACTTAGATAACTCATAGAGTTGGCTTGAATTCCCTACATCTGAGTAGGTATCATGCACTGCTGTCCAGAGGGCGCTTGCGGAAGGAACATATATGATCGTCCAATAGATGCCTCCATTGAGTTAATCAACCACGAAATGACCATGGAATTCTCAACTTCACAGGCCCCAAATGTCGGGTCAGTCGTTGGAGATTCACAAATCATACCAACGAGGTGACCGAATTTCCCACGCCCTTTGATGAACAAGGACACAGATTGAGACCATTAAAGAAAGCTATCGTCGTTCAGTTTATGGGTTGTAATCAAGAAGTTCATGATGTTCTCATGTCCTCCAGTTTGCAGAGGAACAGAGATTGGAATTGATCATCCAGTGAAATAAAAAACATTTAATGATGGCTCAATGCTGGAAGAGATATTCTGGTTGGTTGGAAGAAGATTTCGGCTGTCAGATCACCTTTTCTGAAGAGTCATCAGCCGGCTAGGATCGGACGGGTAAGATCTGGTCGGCTCGGGAGGGCTCTAACGGGAGACAGGGACTCCAACAGAAGAGACAAGACTCCACCGGACGAGGGACAAGACTCCAACAGAAGGCAAGACCTATATAGGAAAAGGGAAGGCACGACCTAAATGGGAGACGAGAAGGCGCGACCTATATGGACAAGAATCTGGAAGTAGGTCTAGCATGCAGCAAGGAAGGCCCGACAACAGTTAGGTTAGAGCGATGACTCTGACATCATGTTAGAATAGAACCAAGATGATCTTATTGATGCAAAGAGGAGTATAAATACCTATTACAGAATTTACTAGTAAGGAAACAAATAAAAACAGAATAAAAGGGAAAATGAAAGTAATAAAAGCAAATCAAAACAATTAATACAGCTGCATATTAATATTCTAATATTCTAATATTCTAATAAAGAACATTCACGACCAGCCAACTATCAAAATAACAAAATATATCATAAATGGATTTTTTTAAAAGATAATATAATTTGTACTTAGGAATATATATTCTATCAGGACAAAAATTTACAATTTCAATGACCATTTGTCAAACGGATCATTTCTCCAAGAACTAATTAGTGATTTGACCAATCTCAGATAAATTGATCCAGCATCAAAGATTACGTTCGTAAGAAAGAAACACAATTGCACAGTATGCATTAAAACATACATGTACAACCCCCCAAGCCTTTATATAGATGCATGCTCAATTTATCTAAGTGGATATATGTCATGTCATGACACTGTTTTAGGGTCCCTACAAGGTGTTTGAGGATTGGATCTAATAGTAAAATGTTGTAGAAGAGCAAAAAAAAAAGAGGGAAAAGAAGTCGATGAAGATTGGAAGGTGAAAAAAATAATGGCTGCTGTCCCAGGTAAAGGCAGCAGGCAACTCAGTAAAAATAGCAGTACGTCTGAGTATGGATGCCAGGGTAATCCACCATAAAGTCCTGAGCAGGCTACAGGCACAACACTTGTGCATTAAAAAGGATCCAACATTCATTTGGGTAGAAAATCAGAGGCACAATCTCTAAATGGCATAAAATCAAAATCAAAGGGGGTCAAACCAGGTTTAACAACATATTTATATCTCGAAAATATAATACCCTGATAATAACTTAAATAAAATACTAAATAGACCGCGTAAGAGAGCAGCCAGCTCAAGAAAATAAGAATTCCCTGAACCGGCCAGTAAACAAACCGGTCTGGACCGGTTCTGGCCATGAATGCAGAGTTTACATCATGCCAGGTAATAATTCAGGCACACACGTAATATCTCCAGGATGTTGAGTATAAGCAGTACTAAGTTAAGGCAACTTGAAAGGAAGAAACAGGTCATGCAGCTCAACATAATCACGAGAGACTAATAAACTACACACGAAACTTTTTAGTCTAGCATATAAGGAAATTGAATGGAAGTTTCAGAAAGATTTTACCCCAAAGTCAAAGAAGTAATTTGATCGATCAGCCATAAAAATTTCTAAAGCACTTCTTCTCACAAAATATCTACAAAAAGCAAACAAATGGGATAAATAAATGAAAGAGATGCATCAAAAAATAATTTAATTCAATGTATTGTGAATAATTTGAATAAAAGGGAAGTTAAAGTATTTTCCACCTAGTTTGAAGGCGTAAGGATGATCAAAATAATTCTAAGATACAAAACAAGATGTCCAAAAGCATTTCAAAATAAATTAAAGAAATGTCATTTCAAAATGGAAAATAGTATGAAGAAGATATCTAATGATTACTAACCTAGAAATATGAAATAAAACAAGGTAGAAATGCATTATGCTTATGACAACATGAAGGCTAAATTGAAAAACACCGCATCTGTAGCCTTCAAATGATGACAGAAATACCTCTTCAAAATTCTATAAATGAGTTTCTGATAAATTTTAATTTACTTTTAGGTAGTATGACATGCAAGATAATGAAGATGGTCAGATTTTTATTTCAACCTTCTCCAAAAAATCTTATGAAGGGTTGAGATGGACCAACTTCTGTCCTTCCCTTGTTCCTGGTGTTGGGCAGAAGCAGCCAAGCTTTCAGCTATGGATTCATCGGTAGTATGCACATCAGCAATGAAATTTATTCTCTTAGTTGTGATCTGGAAAAAGGAAACAATACAAAATTTAGAAAACCATAAATCCCATACATAGGAATCTAGTTGCTGTTACCAAAAATAGAGAAATATACAAGTAACATGCTTGAATACAGCATTTAAAGAAAAGAAAAAAAAAAGGCAAAAGCTGAAACACAAATTGTTGGAGAACTACAGTAATCCATCAAACAGATAGCTTAGGATAAAAAAAATAAAAATATTTTAGCAATTAAAAATGAAGAATGTTAGATAAATAAAATGAGTTCTTCAATGACACTAACTGAAAAGAGTGTAAAAAATTGATGACATTTGTGAGATTCAAGTACGATATTTGAAGGATTGACCTGAAACACAAGACAAAGGAGCCAATTAATAATATGGCTTGGCATGAAAAAAATTCAGGCCATATTTAGAAATGTTTTGTTTCCTTCTTTTTTTTTCTTTTTGTTGCTTTAAATTTCACGTAAAATAAAATAATGTTTGTATGTTTTGCTCATTCCTTGTTTTAAAATCAGAAAATAAAATATAAACTTGGAATGAAAATTTAAAATAAAAGTTTCCTATAGTTTAACTAAGATGATTAATTATTTAATAAAAAATAATCACATCCAAGTTTCGATTATGCAAACTAAACCTGATTTTAGCACTAATTAATCTGTCATGATCATAATCACTAATTACTTATTAATTTCTTAGGCTAATCCAATCCTAAACATATATACTTAGTCAAATATTTAATTAGAGTTTAAAAACTTAATGACATTAACTAAAACTGTAATTACTTCCTAATCAAATAGAATAAATGGTTAAAGACAACATAAAATTCTTAACTAATTACTGTATTAGATCAACTTATCAAAATTAAATACTGCCATACCTTTCATGATAAAAATTAAAATCCTAATTAATCTTTAATTAGCCTGACTAAAAGATTCATTACAAATTACACTGGTCTTTTATGAATTAAATATTAATTAAAATCTTATTTACCATAAATAAAAATTAAATCAGAAATTAATATTTACATACAAATCCAAATTAATACATAATTAACTATTCTTGCTACTTAATAAATTAATTAATTATTCTATGTCTTATTACTACGATTACATAATAATAAACTAAATGACCATAGTTAAACTTCCGATAATCCCTAATTCTCTTTAATAAATAGTTATAAAGAATTATTTTAATAAATCATTGGAATAGTTGATTGTCCCATACCTAATTAATAAAATTAAACATTTATAAAACCCAATATTAAATATAGAATTAAGGGGCCGTTTGGGATCAATTAGTATTATTTTGTTTGTGTTTTGATTTAAAACAAAATATGTTTGGCTATTTGATTAAAGAATGATTGTTTTTAAAGATACTCAAACTAAGAGTTGTTTTGATTGTTTTAAAAAATATGTTAATTTATTTTTAGAAAAAAAATAAAATATGTAAAAAAACAAGATTTTAAAAATAAAAATAAAAACAAAAAACAATTGATCCCGAACAAGCTATAATTCATCACTGATTTGTTTTATTAATATTTGATTAGCATAATTAGTATGCAAATATCTTAATTAATCTAACTAGTCCAAACAATCACTTAGGGCATATTTTCACAAAAAAAAGGTCAATATGCTCTTTTAGACATTTTCACATTTTTTTAAACAACTCATTTTTGTTTCTAAAAATAAGAAATGAAAATATGGTTCCCAAACCAGTTTTCCTTTCAATTGAGTGAATGTTCAGAAAATAAGGAAAGGGAGACAATTCAAACATGGCCTCAATTTTAATCAAACAAAATGCAATAGCCATAAGAGCTACAACAGGTGCTCAGCGGCCGTCAAAAGCAAGGTATTCATTCAAATGTATTGCTCATTAAAGACTGCAACATGAAATGTAAAGTCATAGATTTATTCCAGAGGTCGCACCTAGAGAAAATTATCAGTTGAGATAGATGTTGACCTCATTTTTAGCGAGGTCTTGTTTTCTTCTTAGGGTTCAAGGTCTAACCTTAGGATTCTCCCTTTGTTTATCTTAAAGCCCTAGTAGTAGGACCCACCTCATTTTAAAAAATATAAACTACTTCTTTACTCTTTTGGAGTTCCGCATTTGTGGTTCTTGACCTCTAACACTTAGAAGATTGAAACCAACATGAGGGAACTCAAAAGAAGTCTCTATATGATCATTAAGCCCTAGTATTTTCTTATGCACAATTTGCACTTTCGCACGCACAAACTTCGCAATTCAGACAATTGACTTGTTTAATTATCGCAATTTACGTCATTTACGCCTTTAAATGTTGCATAATTAATCAAAACATAAATAAAATTTTGAAATGATCGATCACAAGCCTGAAATTTGAAGAAAATTGAATTCGACACATTTTTTACCCGATCGTCGACGAGGTTGTCCGAACAACCCCGGATGACGAAACAGAGTGTGTCATTGCATTCAGAACGTCGAATTCACTTAGGAATAACACCCATTTTGATATGGTTTTGTGCACGAGCGAATAGTGGGCGAGTTGCGAAATTTTAATGTTAAACTTTTAAGAAAAAATAGAAAATTCATTTTACCCAAATCCCTAACCTAACTCACGCACACTCCCACCCGAACTCCCCCATTTCCTTCGAACAGAGCCCAATCCTTTTCTTCCTGATCGAGAGCCCTAGTCGAGCCCGCCCCTTCTCCCCTTCTTTGGTCGCAGCCCAGGTGAGACCCTAGGGCCGAGTTTGCTCCAACGAACTTCTCTTCCTCATGCGGCTTTGACCTTGACCTCGACCTCGAGGTCCCCTCCCGCGTGCTCTACGAAAAGCTTCCATCTGCTCCCTGCACCACCTACCCGCCACGCTCCCCCTACGACTCTTGTCGCTTCCGCCCCGTCTCTGTCGCGATTGACTCACCGACCTGGTAAGTGAAGGTGGCTACTTCCTCCCTTCTGGGCTATAAATACCTCACTTGGGGAAGGGTTTTGGGTTGGCCGAAATTTTAAGGAGAGGGGAAGTGCTGCTGAAAATTTTCAGGGGCTTGCTCTTGCATTTTCTTTTGGTTCTGCCTCATGAGGCAACTCTTTTCCCTCCCTTAACCGCTCAATCTTCTTGTTTTGCCCGGTACTCCTTGCTTGGTTGCTCGATACTGTTGTGGATTCCTTGGTGTTTTGTTGTCTTGCTTGGTCTCTTTAAAAAAGAAAAAAGAAGAGGAAGTTTCTGATTTTGACCATAAAGAGTTGGTGAATTTCAAATATGTGGGATTTCTTGGCCGTTATATCAACAAGTTTCCATGACAGTAATCCTACTAGTTTAATCCCTACACACCTCTACAAGTATGGGAAACTGATGTATTTGAGTTCACATACTACTCTTCTTTGAATGTTCACATGTGAATTTCATAAAAAAAAAGAGAGGAAAGTTACATGCTGCTCAAATTCCTGAGATTTACATGTACACCACCCAATTCCTTTATATTTATGTCTATAACACCTGGGTTTAAATGTGAAGTTATAGATTTGGCTGCAGATTTGAGGCCTTCAAATGCTACTTTCTTTGGGTTGTTTTGTTGAAGGTTTGGAAAAGTTTAAATGCTACCTTTTGGGCCTGTTTTGTTGGTTGATTTGAGTGTGTATATATATAAAAAAGAGAGGTTAAAGAATGAGGTGTTCATTTTGCTTGGTTACTCGTTATTCTTACTTGGTTGCTTGGTTAATTGTTAAGACGGTATCTTTGAGTAGTTGTGCTCTAATGTGTTCATAATCGTTTGTCGAGTTTATCTTGACTGCACTTACTGTACTTATCCATGAAAGTTTAGCTTAATTCTCTTTTGAGACGGATGATAAGAAGTATGATGGTCATTTCACTTTTTTTTTATTGTCGGCCATGCCATTTTAAAACTCTGGGCATTAAATTCAATTGATAGTTCTTTTGTAGCTTTAGTTAACTTTGTTGGTTGATCCATAAAAGTTGGTTTAGCTAGAATGCTTTTCTGGAGAACTACGTTTGATACGAATGAATGAAATATTGCATTCTAAACTCGGTCTTAATGTTGATCCGATCTTGAGCATGCTTTCAGTCAAGATTGGAGTTTTTGTCGTTGTTATTGCTATTGAATTGCAGCAAGGTGAAGTTTAGCTAATCCAGGATTTGTGGATGGTAAACGTTGATTAAGTGGATATAGGCTATTTATAGAGGTAATGCATTATATGTTTTGTTGTGGTCAAAATGCCATTACATCATCACAGGTTTAATTTCATGCATTTTAGACTTAACTTGCTTCTAGGAGCGTTGTGCCCAAGCAATACATTTGGCATGTGACATCTAGGCATGTGACATCTAATCTTACCTTCAACCTCATACTTTCATTTGTTTATGATGCACATAAGACAGAACTTGGAATTTATGTTGTCGGCTTTGCTAATGATGCAATGTTGAGCCATAATTACAGCTGTGATTATTTAACCTGTTAGTGGGGAATTTTTTGGGTTTCTCGATAGATTGGCAGCATTTACATACATACCATTCAATTCTTATATATCGAATAATTTACATGCATGGGCTGATTTGGGCTGCAGTTTTCTGCCCTATTTTGATGAGGTTCGGGCTGCCATTTTCCCTATTTTTGGTCGGATTTGGGCTGCAGTTTTCTGCCCTGTTTTGGAGAAATCTGGGCTGTGGTTTTGCCCTGTCTTGGTAATATGTAGGTTGCAAATTTTGGCTTGTTTTTCGGCTAATTTGGGTTGCCGGTTTGCCCTGTTTTGGTGATGTGTGGGCTGCGGTTTGGCCTGACTTTGGGTGTTTTCTCTGCTGTGATTGTGAGATCTACATACATACCATGCAATTCTTATATGTTTACATATCTATTACATTTTGGAATGTCGGGACAATGAAAATTTCAAAAGAGGCTTTTTTTTCGTGTCACCGGATGTTGGAAATGGTTTTGAATGTGGTTTTGAGGGCAGATCCATCATTTACTACTTTTCTATTTCAAATGAATCAATCCCTCCTGTCTCTTATCCTATTTTTCTTCTTTTCTTTTCCTGTTTCTTGGTTTGATTTAGGTGCTTATGTCTGAAGCATAAGTGCACATATATAGCCCGATATATATGAATCATCAAGCAAGACAGTAAGTAGGACGGTTTCGGGGTTTAAGAGCAATGATTGTGAGAAATTCTAGCACAATCCTGACTCGGTGACTTTGAGAGAATGAGGGATTGACATTACTGTCTCTCTAACACTTGGAAAAGAGTTACCTCTTGCTTTTACAGACAATTGGAAGTTTTAGTCTAACAATATGACTAACTCACACACACATATGATTAATTAAAAAAAATTCTTTTAAGTGATGACAAATCAGTCAGTCAAATGAATCAGGTTAAGAATTACCATTTTCTGTGAATGTTAGGCAGACAACTTTTGAATCACACATACATGGAGCTGACTGTTTAATTAGAGCCCCAGGTCTTGATTTTGACTCAGGGTCCTGATTCTGAGTCCACCCTAACATGAGTAACGGTTTTCTTCGGAGTTCCCTGCATTTTCGACAATTTTCTTTGAGTTTTCGTGGGTCACACCCTGTTTTTGTTCGAGTCTTTCATGAGATGCATTCTCACTTGTTCTTTTACACATAAATGCATGTTTACCCTGCTAATCAAATCCTCTACTATATTTGTTTACTTCTACTTGGAACGTTAATCCCATTTTTAAGAGCAGCAGACCCGTTATGTACAAAGATTTATTTTATGTTTATAGCATTTTATTGTTCTACTGCACATTCTACTGCTCTTCTTCACTGAACATTTGCTGTTTTTTCTTTGCAGTTGTTTTCCTTTACTGCACCTCCTACTGTTTCATTTATGTGTATTATACCTTTTAGAATAGGAGGATAGTAGTCTAGTTTTATAGGCGGTATCCAGCAGCAGACCACCGACCCAATAATTGTATGTACATTTAAACATTAACTAAACCTGAAACTGCTACGACTTGGAGCTTGGACTTAACACTGTGGGCAGCACGATGAGGATGTAAAAACGAACAACTTCGGGAGAGCAAACATGTCAACAACAAAAAATCTTTCCATAGAATTAAACAACAAGCCATAAAATTTTGAGTTGGTATGTCTAACGTGATATAAAACCTCATCTTATATTTAAGGTTTTTGCACAGCCAGGTTGTGTAACTTAAGCTCTAAACTCATTTTAGATTCCGAAATCGTCGTCTGATGCGACATAAACTCTCCTATCTTCAGGCGATTTGTATGATTGCATCATGCAAATGTAAGTTTTAAATAATAAAACTAACAGGTTGAAACATTAAATAACATTTTCTCAAAATTGAAGCCAAACAATAGAATAATTTAGGAAGTTACCGAGGTTCCCCTCAAGATCTGTGAGATCCCCTACTTTTCTTTCCTTTGATTCCAGAAATAAATGTTCCCGTTTGGTCCCATTCCCCACTTGACTTTTCTATGTCTAATCTTAGAAACTTTAAACTTTGAATTGATGAAAATAGTTACCTCTGATCATCATTGAAAGCTCTCTTAAGTGAATTCAGTCATTTGAGAGGTAATTACCTAGAAGGCCTTCCCTCAACAGGGAGCTTTAAGTCTATGTAATATAAACATTATCTAATCTTCCATATTATATAGGGAAACCTGTCAGCTTATATAAAAAAAATGGTTCGCAGACCAGACGGATGTTATAAATTCTGTAGTTTATTTAATCTAGTCTCACTATCAAGTAATATGCATTTTCCTCGAGATAGGAGTGTTACTTGTGCTGTTGTGCTCGATTACTTTAACTATAAAATGAATGAGATCTATCCAGTCTCATTTTTCAAAAATAGCTCAAGGGTTAATTTATTAAAACGGAAAAGATACAGAAAGGTTGTACGAGAAAGTTTAAAAGAAGACTCAACTCACACAATACAACACACACAAAATTCAAATAAAGCAAAAACACATAAAGATAAAAAATCAAAAAGCCACCAAAGGCCGCAGAAGTGCTAGGGACGTCCCACTTTAGTCTTCCTTCTGCCTCTAGTTCTCAGAATTGGGTCTGCTAACAAATTAGTAAGGTGAGTGTCATTGCCCAAAATAACCAAAATATTATCCATCAGATTCCTGAGCTCAAGTAGGTCTCCATTCTTCTTCTTCCTCCTCGATATGTAGACCTGTCATTCCTCATCTGGTGATTGACTCATTTGATCAATAGATTATTCCAAAGTTGGTTGGACAGGTGTAGATTGTTGCACAACATGATCTCCATGAACCTGAGTGATAGATACAGCTTGCTCGACCTGATGAGGCGGTAGTGAAACAGTAGAAGTATTGCAACCTGTAATAACAGTGATAAGTTCTAAGGCAAGTGGGGTCTGAAGAATCTCCCTCAAACCCATGATAGGAGGTTCCAGAGACGGCTGAGTGGTTGTAATATTGTCTGCAGGTTTTAATATTGTCTGCAAGAATAGTGACGTCTTCGGGGGCATTCTTTTGATAATCAATATTGTCAATAACTTAGATTTGATCAGGAGGAGATGAAACACTGTCTCTGGCAGAGCTCTGTGTTTTTTTGGTCTGAGGTGTGTATGTAGATGGTGGCATTGAGAACTGGAGTTGTCGAGCATACAACAGTTTGAACAATACGAAGAAAAATGCTCAATCACTACCTTTTGCCAATATCCATGATGTTGTGTGTCCAGCCAAATTTCCTCACAAGCAGATGAAGTGACGTCTCTTTCAACAAGTACTCTGGCTTCTAATGGACGGGAAAGATTAAAAGTAGGAATGTCCATTATGAGTGGCTTACCATAAGCTGAGGCAATAGCGTACAAAATTTTTTGAGTAAAATAATGAAATTTCAGACCAGAGAGGCGAATCCAAACCAGAATGATCAAAAGTTCTGTAAATCCACAGACCATTTCAGAATTTTCATTGCTCTGTTATCAATCTAGATTATCCTTCTATCAAATAAACGCGTGTAATCCTCTTCAATATTAATTTGTATGAGAATGTGTCTTCCACCTAACAGTCCAATTTTCCACTCTACAACTAGGTATATAAACACAAATTCTTTACGAATCAGCTCCATTTTGGGATGATCATACAGGAAATTCCCAATTAAATTAAGTCGACAGGAGGAAGCAAGTTGAATACCTTCAGCTTTTGTAAAAAGGATGGCAGACTTCCCATTTTTCCTTTCAGGTTTCTTGATATCCTCCTCTCCCACTCAAACGAATGATGGAAAGAGCACGATTTTGGTGTACCTGAGGCGGCGTTTACACCCGCAAGAGCAGCAGCATACAATCTGTCTGAAGTCATTCCCAATAGATAGAGGTGTGGCGTTAAGAACAATGAAGAAAGCAATTAAGAGCAAAGTCAGAATCCAGAAAGTCCAAATCAAGAAAATAGGGAGCAGGAGCGGAAACCCAGAAAATACGCCCTATTCTTAACGCCCAAATCGCAGAAGTGGCGCAGAAACAGACGCAGAAGCGGGCGCAGAAGCGGACAACGCCCCTGCGGAATCACGTTCGAGCAGAGCGGCGACGATGAGTGGCGACGAAGGAGCAGACGCAGCCCGCCGAATCCAAAGCGGCATACAGAGGCAGGCGACGCGAGAAGCCGACGAGGAAGGTTAAGCAGAGACGACTGAAGCAGACGCTAGGGTTCGCCGTGAGGCGAAACCCTAGCAGAGCGGAGACGGGTGGTTATATATATATATATTAAATTAAATCAAAATTACATTTTATATTTTTCAAAAGAAGAGAGGAATTTTAACAACCGACAATACACCAACAAGCATAAGATGTTAACAAATCTTTCATCAGTTATAGCACAATTTATCATCTCATGAAGAGCTTAGGTAGTTCCGAAAATCAAATTGAGACAAGAAGAAAATAAACAAGACTTGAGCATTAAGTTGACAAACTTACTTGGAATGTTCCACATACAACCTTCAATGGACGAACCATCAGTGAGGGTAGTTCAAAAATAATTCTTTCATCAGTTTCATCGGATATATACTCGGGAGCAAGTACTGATGCTGGTAGAACCAAAACTTCATCCACAGGAGCCCAAGGTTCTCTATAAACCAGTTCACCATCTAATGAATGGACATCAGTTGATGGCACGGGATGGCTGCCTGTTTTAACGTCTGAAATAAAAGATCGAGGCAGATCTTCATTCTCATTTCCTTCTTCCATTTGCATAGCTTCAGGTTTCACGATGATGGAAGTAAAAAGGTCTGAATACCGTTGAACATATGATTCTTCCATAGATTTATGCTGTATGTCATCTTCATAAAAGGCAGCTCTATGCAAATAAGAAGAATTTTTGTAACAGCTTTTTAGAAATCTTCTCATCCTACAGGAATTTTCTATGGTATCTAACTTCCAAAATGCCTGCACATAAAACAATTAATGTTGGAAAAGCTCATTAATCATCATCTTTATATGGATTGTGTTGCTACATCTGAAATTAAAGGAAAAATAAATAAGAAAGAACATGGTAGCTAAATAGTAATCTAAATTCATCAAAACTGCACTTACTAATTTGGCACTGCCCAATTGATCTCCAAAGTGTCCAAAAAGCTGATTCATTTCAAGTAGACAATAAACAAGTTTTCTCCAAGCTTGAGCTCCAGTGCATACACGACGTCTATCTAACATATCCACTTGTTCAAGTCTCTCCATCTGCACTATATTTAGAAAGTTGAGCATGCTTTGATAAAAAAATAATGCTATGAAACAAACAATCCTGCCAAATTACCTCTATCCGCTGCATGTTTCTTGCTGTAGCAAAACTCGTCACAAGAACTGCCACATATTTATAGCAAAGAGCAGAAAAATCACGGCTAGAAACTGATTTTGAATCAAAAGGTTGGAGGCACTCTATCCAAGCAACACCCATGGCTTCCACAATATTCCACCTCTTTGAACGCTCAAGGTCACTTGCACTCCTCCTCTGAGCTGATGTGGCCATCGCAACAGCACTAAGCCCTCTCCCAGCACCAATCTTTGAATTGCGCTCAAGGTCTCTTGCAGCTGCCAAAGCAGCAGCTTTTGCGGCTGCTTTGTCCTTGGGCATGGGTGGAAGCTTATTGGCTGTCTCAAGAGGCTTTTGGAAACTTGAAAATGCATGCAGTCTAGCCGACTTGCGTTCAAACAAGGATGTTTCACGTCTATATGGTGTGTTTTTAGAAGTTGGGGCCGTTTCGCCACCGGAGGCACCAGCAGCAATCATGGCCAAAGCCATAGCAGCTGGAGGCGATGCAAAAACAGCAGACCAACCTGGGGTTATCATCGCAAATGCAGCCTGTATAGATAAGGGAAATATTGTTAAATTCTGGAGATGCCACAAAACAGAATAGGCTCCCCCTGTTTTGTCTCAAATGACATTCGAATTGAGAGAAATTACAAAAACTTCACCTCTTCTTAATCAGGTTACTTTGAATATCAATTCCCACAAGTTGCATCTATCATTCAGTCCTCAATCTCATCCAGCCCTTTTTAATTCCAAGTGAAATTTCAATGATAGGCTAGAGATTGAGACGTTAATTATAGGTGGATAAACTTTAAATTTCAGAAATGAATATTTAGCATATAATCAAAATTTTAGTTTGCACTTCAATTTTTAAATTTTACTGACATTGTTAGATCTTTGATGTCACAATGAAATCAATTGCTCCGTACAGGGAAACTAAATACATTGGACAAGTTACCCGTAAAGTTGTTCTAAAATTTTAGCCCTGCCACATGGAAATAGCAGCGGGGACATCACACTCCCATAAGCGTAGGATAAAAATATCCTTTAAATATCTATAACAACAAAGTCAATGACATACATATTTGAGATTATAGAACTTTAGGGATTCACAAATCAAATTTTAAAGTCCATGGAATTTGGGATAAGCTATCTTGTGGATTTACAAGGAGGTGGGTTTACCCAAGCTTGCTTCTAGTCACATCTAGGCATTGGTTAAAAACAGACTGAAACAATTCAATTATTAAGGCTTGTATGGAATCAATTTGATTTTTCATTTGTTTTTGTTTGTTCTTTTGTTTTTTTAAAAACATATTTGTTTGGTGTGTCTTTTACATGTTTTTATATTTTATTTTTTTTAAAAAAAAAACTTAACTTACTTTTGAAAAGACTCAAAACGATATTTAGGTGTTTTGAGTGTTTTCAAAAACAACAATATCTAAATCAAACATATCAAACATATTTTGTTTCAAATCAAAACTTAAACAAAACAAAATTAAATTAAAAAATAGAAAACAAAAAACAAAAAACAAAAGTACATCCCAATCGGCCCCTTAGTTTTTGGAAGAAGATTATTAACTAGGCTACTCGGATCCAAACATCTAAGAAATGCATCTGATCAACTTTTATCCAGAAGATAATCCCAGATCCAGATCATACAGATGTAAGGCAAAGTAGTTAAGCAATTAGTCCCAGCAATTTAAAAATTAAAAAGCCAAGGAAACATGGGTAGTGTTTGAAACCTTTGTATAGGGCTGAGAAAAAATATTTCTTCTCTTACAAAAAGGCATATATCTATAAATAGGTACCAGCATCTAAATATCTAATGTATCATTGGATATATTGTTAAGTTTTTTGAGTTGAGGTTCAAAAACAAAGGACCAATCTAACAACCATTGGTTAAGACCAACATTTCAAAAACAGAAGATATTTCAAAAAGTTGAGATCCCATGATCCACCAACAATTATTTCCATCCCCAAATATAAGTAATTTACCTTTAAAATAAATGCAATTAACACAACCACAAAATAGGCTTTAAATGATATCACAAATTTTGAAAAAATAAAAAAGTAAATTCCTCAAATCTAAACAGAAGATATTTCAAAAAGTTGAGATCCCATGATCCACCAACAATTATTTCCATCCCCAGATATAAGTAATTTACCTTTAAAATAAATGCAATTAACACAACCACCAAATAGGCTTTAAATGATATCACAAATTTTGAAAAAAAATAGTAAATTCCTTAAATCTACTTTCTTAGAGTCTATGATAAAACTTTAGGATCGCCTCCGTACAAGATATGATCATCTATCTGAATAGTCATTCAAAGAAACCGTTTCATTCAGAATACTAAAACTAATAACAAAACCTGTAGGACAAAATGATCTGCGAATTGAATCAACTTATGCACCTATGTAATGAAAACAAAGAAAGTAAAACAGCAGGTATAATTGTCACCTCAAGAGGCAATGCATCAGCGGACAAGGCATGATTATCAGCTGTGAGAGGATTTTCAATTTCCGATGATGTAAGCTCATGAATACCTGCCAAAATGGGTCGCCACCTCCTTAGAACAGCAACAAAAGGCGGTAAAATTGATTCTACATATTGTTTTCGGATAGGTTTCCTGTCCCTACCAATGGCATGCCATACCTGCATCATCAGAATAGCATAATATAATCCTCTTCGTAATACTTGTTTATGCAAACAAGAAACTGTCACAATTACGAAGCACGTGAAAATAATGATATTTTTTGTGTATAATAAAATTGGAGTCAACCCATAACTCAAAATCACTTGGGTTATATTCCCAAAAGGCTGCCTTATAGTTTGTATGTGTAATCAAAATTTAAGAAAGTAATGGCAAGTCCGTTTATCAGCAGCTAAACGTTGTAAGCAATTAGTATCAAGAAGAAAAGCAAAGTTAACTTCAGATCATTACATTTTATCATTTGCTTTATGAATATCTGGAAAAGAAAAGGGAAAACTATTTTTCACATATCATCATTCTCTCACAACCCTATAGTGTTAATTTTATGAAGCATTTTCTCTATTTGTTTCTTACGAAGGAAACGTGTAAAGTTAGTTCCAGCATACAAGAAATCTTCTTTCAGAACTTCTAATCATATTTTGGACCGACCTACATAATTGCAAGTTCAATTAGGTTACTATTTCTTTGATCAGTCCCTCAAGCATGTTGTGGACTGTGGAGCCTTGGATGCTACTGGGTAAAGGCGTTATTAGTGAAGGTGATAATGTCAACATCATCAACTCACTGAGAAAAATTATGAAAGCCCGCACCCAGCGAACCAGACTACATGACAGCCTATATTTTACTTTTTTCTTTTACTCAGTTTAGACAGGTTACATTTCAGCAAATTCACAAGGAGCTCAACAAAGCAGCACACATTTGTGCCCAACTGGCATTACAGAGTTCTTTTACTTCGATGCACTTTGACTAATCCCATATTCTTTCTTCTGTTCTTAGGGATGATAGACTACATTTGGTACACGCCTAATGTCATATTTTGTCCTTTTTTTATATTTTGACATAGTAATGCAATATCCACACATTCAAGGCAATTTCTATCTAGCTATGTTTTCTACATTTGGTTAATTTCTCAGTTAATATTCTAGAACTACATCCTCAATATATGCTTCTCCAAAACTCTTATGTATTCTCTCACACACTCTTCTAAGTTCGAAAGTATAACCATCTTAGGACCCCCATTTATGTTATATTCAGCTTGCAGTAAATTCATTAACAAACACAAAAGCGTCAAAGTCAAAAGATTTTCTATTTATCACCAGGGAATCCACCAAAAGTAGCTTTTACATAGCATACAACCCAGAATTTCACAAATTTTGTGGTTCGCTATGGTCAACTTGGATCAAAATTCTCTTGTTAAAGCTACCAGGTTTCACTGGTAAACAATATTACTTTAATCTACCAAACCTCAAAATTAATAATGAGAATGACGGCCAATATTCATAGCATGCAAATTTATGTTTTACAGAGTGTGTTATCTGGTTTCGCTCCTAAAACTAGAGGAAGAGACGGGACTAAACTGGCTCGTTCCTAGCTATTTGTTTTCTGCATGTTTTAAATTTTTGGAGTCTACATATATCTTTTGTTGGGGTAGTAATGTACTTGGTATACTATGGGTAAGATGTAAACAACTATAAGCTAATCAAAGCCTATGAATACTCGCACTCCTAAACTATAGTAATATTTTTTTTTGTAAGTCCAAGAGCAAATATATTAATACGGAAAAGATACATAAATGTTGCATGAGAGGGCTTAAAAGAAGCCTAACTCATACAAAACAACACACACAAAACTCAAATAAAACAAAGATACATAAAGAAAAAAAACCAAAAGCCACAAAAGGGCACAAAAGTGTTAGGGACGTCCCACTTTAGTCCTCCTGCCTCTAGTTCGTGGAAGTGAGCCGGCTAACAAATTAGGTGAGTACCATTGCCCGTAGTAACCAAAGTATCATCCATCAGATTTCTGAGCTCAAGTAGATTTTCATTTTTCTTCTTCCTCCTGGATGTATAGACCTGTCAATCCTCATCCGATGATTGACTCATTTGATCAGTAGATTCCAAAGGTGGTCGGACAGTTGTAGGTCGCTGCACATCATGATCCCCATGAGCCTGAGTAATACTAGCATTTTTCTGAACCTGATGAGACAGTAGTGAAACAGTAGAAGTATTTTCACCTATATTATCAGTGATAGGTTCTAAGACAGGCGGGGTCTGGAGAATTTATCTTTCCCCCACGATAGAAGGTTCCAAAGACGGGAAACTATAAGTGAGGACTGAATGGTTGGCATATCGACTGTGGGGAAAGTGACGTCTTCCGGGGTATCTTTCTGATGATCAATAGTGTCAATATATATATATATATATATATAATATGTGCATGATTGACAATGATAGAATCATCCATTGATGATACTAGCGATGAAAAGTTAAGATACATGTGCACCAAAATGAAAAAAAAAAATTAATATTAAAGTACCTTAATTGATACAACTTTTAGAATATGCTCCTGTGACGATTGCATAGATATAGAATGATATAAACATATTATTGATATACTAAAACTCATTGAATAGCATGAAATATCGTAAGTGATCATATTCTTAAACTATCAAATGTTTTATATTGATTTATTAAAAGCTTAACTTGCATACATATTATTTTATTTTTTTGTGTCTTACTATAATTTAAGAGTGTGAGTATTCATTGGATTTGGTTAGGTCACTGTTGTTTTAAACAAATTTTTCGGTTGTAATTAATTAATTAAACGACGAGCTATAGAAGATAAAATGTTTATAGAAAACGCGAATAACCTTTAATGAGATAAATTTAATTGTATTCTTTTAATTTAATTTCTTTAGTGGCACTTCCATTTGTTAAATATTAGTTATAGAAAATGAATATAGACAACTTATTTCACGCTGTCCGACCATCTGTACCCGCATTAGTTAATTCCAAGCCCCGAGTCAGGTATACTAACAAATTTATCAGTGTGTTGAGAAACTTCTTATTGAAATCCATAATTATCATAAGATGGACTAGCGTGGATATGAATCAATTGATAATTAATCTTTATTCTCTTATCCTTCAACCAAGCACCAAATTAAAATATTAGATGCACATTAAGTGTTTTTTCATGCCTCCCCTATGCAGATGCAATATCCACTGGTATTGAAAAACTTTGGAAAACATCACATGACACTAGATTTTTATTTTATTCATGCCTGCTACTTTGCATACTGATTCAGGTTCATTAGATTTACATTCTATTTTCATGATATACTTTATCAAAATAGTCAGGCCAGTTCCCGTGCATTTTGAGTGCCCTATCCCCTTGTTGTCTATTGTTTATAAAACATGTCCAACCTACAGACCTTGTTCTTACAACAAAGCCACGCCTATTTTGTCGAGCTTCTCAATAGAATAGTTCTGAAGTCTCCAGCAAAGAGAGGATAATTTCAGATGCTAGTTTGGATATGTAATGTTAGATAGTTGTAGTTTTGTATATTTTTAGACTATTGTATTTCAATTAAATATTACCACAAGAGCATATGTGACTGTCCCATCTGACCCATACTAACCACCACTCAAACCCGCACACACTTGGTTCTAACAATCTATTTCCATTGGCAACATGAATTGAGCATAAGCTTGTTCTAAAAAAACTGATTCATGAATGGGATGATGCGGGAGCTTTTTCGAGACAGCGGCACTGTAGCAGCTACAATGTCGTGGATGCGGTACTGCAGCCGCTGCAGTAACCTTTTTATTTTCCTCTTTCTTCCTTTCCTTTTCTATGATTCTCCTGTTTTATTTCCTACATATTTTATGTTTGCCTTTTCTATTTCTTTACGTTTCCATGAAATCCCCTATTATAAATTCTTGTCTATTATATTACTTCCTTCTTATTCTATTTCTTAAATGAAAACATTGTCTAATAGAAGTCCTAATCCCTCTTATATATAGGGTTGTTTTTGCTCAGGAAAGGAGATTTGGGATGAATACAAATTTTTGTGTGCTGTCTTCGAGGCATTCTTCCCCTCCGGGAGTTGCATTCGACGACGAGAAGGTGATTCGGCTATAACTCGTCTGAGGTGATGACCGTCTCTAAGGGTTCGGGTGGTACTTCGGCTGTAACTCGACCCAAAAGAGACAAATCTTCTACAACCCTTATTAGAGTATGTGTTGTATCTCTATGTTTGTGTTGTTGTTTTGTTGTTGTTTGCAATTTTGACGAGTTTTGTTGTAATCTTTGAAATTCAACAATAATATTATTATTTATGCTGTGGTTTGAGCTTTTGCCTATACCATATAGTATCAAAACCAGCCAAACCCTAGTCTTATCCAAGGGTTCCTAGATTCACTCTTACCAAAACCACTCCCACCAAATTTTTTCTACTTTAAAAGCTTCGACAAATGAGGTCAAAGCTTCACCAACCTCGAGAGATTGACGCGGGAGCTTTTTCGAGGTCGCGACACTGTATCAGCTACAGTGTCGCGGACTGCTACAGTACAACAACCCAAATTTCCTCCCCTTTCTTTTTTTTTCCCTCTCTCTTCCTTTCCTTTTCTACGATTCTCCTATTTTATTTTCTACCTATTTTATGCTTGCCTTTTCTCCTTTTTTACTTTTCCATAAAATCCCCTATTATAAATCCTTGCCTATTATATTACTTCATTTTCATTATATTTTTTTAATTGAAAGCATTGTCTAATATAAATCTTAATCCATTTTATATATAGGGGTCGTTTTTGCTTAGGAATGGAGATTTGGGATGAGTGCAGATTTCTGAGTGCTGCCTTTAAGGCATTCTTCCCTTCTGAGGGTTGTATCTGACGGCGAGAAGGTGCTATAGTTGTAACTCGTCCAAGGTGATGACCGTCTCCAAGGATTCAGGTGGTCCTCTGGTTGTAGCTTGACCCGAAGAGAAATTTATCTTTCTGCAACTCTTATTGGAGTCTTTGTTATGTCGTTATGTTTATGTTGTTATTTTGTTGTCATTTATTTTCTATTTTGACGAGTCATGTTGTAATGTTTAAAATTCAATAATATTATTATTATTTTTGTTGTGGTTTGGGTTTCCCTCAATATCATTTGGTATCATAATCCTAACCCTAGTCCTACTCTAGAGTTCCCTAGATTCGCCCCCTACCAGAACTATCCCCACCAAAATTTTTCTATCCTAAAAGCTTTGACGAATGAGGTTGAAGCTTTCCCAACCCCGGAAAATTGATGCGAAAGCTTTTTCCGGGTAGTGGCACTGTAGCACCTACAATACCGCGACCTAAATTTCCCTCCACTTTCCTTTTTTGTTTCTCTTTCTCTTCCATTCCTTATTCTATGTTTCTCCAATTTTATTTCCTACCTATTTTATGTCTTTCTTTTCTATTTCTTTACTTTTCCATAATCCCCTATTATATTACTTCCTTTTTTTTATTTCTTAATCCCTCTTATATATAGGGGTTATTTTTACTTAAGAAAGAAGATTTGGGATGAGTGCAGATTTCTGAGTGCTGCCTTTAAGACATTCTTTCCCTCCGGGAACTCTATCAGACGGAGAGAAGGTGCTCCTGTTGTAACTCGTCCAAGATAGTAACTGTCTCCAAAGGTTCGGGTAGTGTTCCGGCTGTAGCTCAACCCCGAAGAAACATTTTATCTTTCTGCAACTTTTGTTGGAGTCTATGTTGTTTCTTTATATTTGTGTTTTGTTTTGTTGTCATTTATTTTTTGTTTTGAAGTGTCCTGTTGTAATTCTTGAAATTCAATAATAATATTAGTATTTATGTTGTGGTTTGGGCTTCCTCCGATATAATGAATCCACAAGGGAACAAAATATGCTCTGCCACACACAAACATGTCCGGAATCACCAACTGACTAGAAGCTTAACATAAAAAGGATTGAGATAAGTATTAACTTTAGATCATACCAGATTTTCATCCAATATATTAATATGTTAAATTTTCTATCACAGAATTAAGGAAAATTAAATGAACAAAATTATCATTAAAGAGTTAAAAGCTAAAAAAGCATTAGTTTTCTCATAAATTTATTGTTTTGGCTTATTCATTTATCAATAATTCAAACCTAAGTAAAGAATTCTAGCATAGAAAAGTTACTTAGACAATAAAAAAGCTTGCACACTAACCTCAGAATACAAAACACAGCATGCGACCAACACCCGTTGTCTCTTGAATTCAGATACTGGCATGTTAAGAAGTGGCCCAAGCACACTGCAAAAGTAGGTTTGTAGAATTGTTAAAGGGAAAACATACTTGCCAACGAAAAGGCTAGATTAGCACCTAATGATCATACTGATGATTAACTTCAACATTACAAACAGTGTTGATCAATCATATCATAGGTCCATGGTTCTTATGCAACGAACATAATTCAAGAAATCTCAACTTAAGATTCGCAATTTAGAGATCAATAATTTAAACAATTATTCAATATATAGAGATGCAATCAGGAATGTTGAACTCAATGCCTATTTCCAAATTCAACTCGATCTAACACAATGAAAATGATAAACAACGAACATAGTATCATGCAAAGACAAGTTTAAGGCATCTCGCTTGCAATAAAAGTGTTCAACTATCGACTGCTTCACAAAACAAGCTATACCAACACATACATCAAAACATGAAAAATGAACCCCCAATTTGCTTAAATTGCAACACAAGAAAAGTTGAAAAAGTTGTACAAGAGGGCAAGATTTGGACTTCAACTATGGTCTCCGAAAATTTGCACTTGGCTCTCCTAAAAAAGGTCATTGTTCCAAATCAAATTTTCATAAGATAAAAAAAATTTTAGATATAGCATCATCACAATGATAGGATCCTCCGTAAAATGAAGTTCCTTATTTCCATTCCCCAATGTCTTATTATTCAGTACACCACCTAATAAAAGCATCGTTGTCCTTAGATTTCCTAACTTAACAATTAACTCAAAAATACTTTTTTTTTTCTCAAAAGATATTCTCCTTACTCAGGTCTTTAAGCTTTTCGAAACAAAATCAAACTCAGTTTGTAAAAAATATATATATTTTTTCCTTATCTCCTGGGCCAGGTCATGACAGGAGATTCAAACTATGGGTGCCCACCCAAAGCAATTTTAACATTCTCAACATGTCAGCCTATTTCAATCTAACAACAAGTGACAGGTGGTTTTTTAAAAAAAAAATCAGAATACATTAACTTTAATTTGTGCAACGACGCATTAATCATAGTTTGTTGTTTTCATTGTGCTCATTTGAACCAATCATGAAGGTCCTTATTCAATAATTCTGACACTCCAAACTGTGAATATGTTTTTTTTTTTGAATAGATTGTCTCTCGTTATGCAACATGGCAGAAAATGTGGAAATCTTGGTTGATTTCAATGTCCCATGCTCATTGGCAAAATCTATTGCGGAATGAATAACAGTTAGTTGAATCCGTTTATACAATGCCTCTCTACTTCAATTTACCTCAGTTTGTGTTATAATACTTCAATGGATGTCCACTATTTTTATCATGTTTGATCGAGTAGTGGCAGTTATATTGAGCTCAACACTACTCTAGTTAACATCATAATGCAACTATAACCTTATTAAATTGATGCAGAAGTCTTTTTAAGATGGCAAGTGAAGAAAATTCTACAAAATGCAGTGCAAAAGAAATTCAGCGCATCTAAAAAAATTGAGGAAGCAAAACGAGAAATTTCTAAGACATAAAGTACATCTCCGATCTCAAAAGGTTGCCAGATCAAAAAACCATAAAGATTACATTTCAGCATTCAAAAATTTATAAATCAGTAAAACTAAACTACAGAATTTGTATTGCTTTATTAAATTTAAGATATTAAGTTAATAGGAAAATTTCCATTTGGTATAATGTTGTTGGAATAAAATCAGAATAATTCTTATTGATACAAAGAGAGGTATATATACCCAATTAGAAAGAAAAAAAAATAAACTCATAATATAATAGAAAAGAAAAAAAATAAAATTGAATATAATAGAAAGAAAAAAATAAACTCATAATATAACAGAAAGGTAAAAAAAAAAAGAAATCAAAGGAAATAATGAAGAATAATCAGAATTAAATAATGGCTATTACTAGCCATTAAAATATTCTAATACTCCCCCTCAAGTTGAAGCATAGATGTCAGCTATGTTCAACTTGAACTTGAAATTATCGAATAGTGGTCGAGGAAGGTTATTTGTGAGGGTATCCACCAGAAGGCCGCTGGATGACACAAAGGAATGCAAATTTTCCCGGACTTGAATTTTTCCTTAATGAAGTGTCAATCAATCTCAGCGTGTTTGGTGCAATCATGTTGTACTGGATTATGAGCAATGCTAGGTTGTCTTGTATCACAAAACAACCATGGGAACAGAGACTGGCATACACAGTTCTCTGAGCATGATGCATAACCAAAGAGCCTCACAAATTACCAGTGACATGGATCGAAATTCTACTTCAGCATTGCTCCGAGCAACCACAGACTAGTTTTTTGCTTTTCAACGTGACAAGGTTTCCAATCGCAAATAAGCGATATCCCGAGTTAAATCGCCGATCATGGGCGAATCTGGACCAATCAACATCTATGAAAACAAAGATATTATGAGGTGTGGCGGGAAAAATACAGGCCTGACCCTGGTGTGCTTTTTAAATAGTAGATAATCTGGTTGACAGCTTGAAGATGATACTTATAGAGGTCCTGCATGAATTAACATACTATCCCAACTTCATGGCGTTAAAGCTTGGAGAAAGGGCCATGTAAACCTCTTGTAAGATCACCATTCATAAATGCATTTTTAACATCAAGCTAGAATATGAGTCAATCCAAATTCACTGCAAGAGATAAGAGATCCCGAATGGTGTTTAATTTAGCCACTGAAGCAAATGCCTCCTCGTAGTCAACTCCATAAGTCTGTGAGTACCCTTTGGCGACCAACTATGTCTTCTAGCGTTAAAAGGATTCATCTGATTTAAACTTGATGCTAAAAATCCACCAGCATCCCACTGCTTGCTTGCCCTGAGGAAGATTAACAATATCTTAAGTATGGTTTCGCTTAAGGGCATTCATCTCCTCCATGACAACAACTTTCCAGGCTGAGTCTGCTAAAGCAGCCTAAATAGTCGATGGAAGTTCATGATTCGTCAAGGCTATAGCAAATGCTCTATAGTTGGCGATAATCTGAGAAAGGTGACGTAGTTTGTCACGGGATTTAGAGAGCATGTTTGATTGTGTATCTTACTAGAGGAACTGGCTTCCTCATTTTGAATCGGAGCAGTGTTGAGGATGTCATCCGGAGGGGATTCTAGGTCCAGGAAGGGGTTAGCGAGCTTCTGAGTAGGTGCATCAGAACGAAGGCGTCGAGTGTAGGCATGGAGAGTGGGAGGGTGTGAAGGTGGAATCAGAGGGACAGCGGGCTATTTGGTGGTAGGAGAGATGAGTGGAATAAAAGGAACCAAAGGTTCCTCGATGGTAGGTGACTTGGGAGAACATCCACAGGAGTAGGGTAAATAACGATATCCAAGAACTCTAGCTCCCCATCACTTGAGACAGAATTGGGAAAATAGAAAACACTTTCAAATAAAGAGACATCGGCAATCACATAGACCTTATTTGTGGTAGGATCAAGACACTGATACCCCTTTTGAGTGGCAAAATATCCTAGAAAAACACATTTTATAGACCTGGGAACAAGTTTACTCCGAGTTAGGGTTGCATCCTGAACAAAGGTATTGCACCCAAAAAGTTTGGGGTCTAAAGTGGAGAGACCCAATTGTTAGAAAAGAATGATCTCAAGAGTAACAAAAGGATACATAAGTTGTGAATTCTTAAGAGGACTCTATTTATGAGATACATGGCAATAAAAATAACATCATTCCAAAAACGTTTTGGGACATTGGAGTGAAACATAATGGAACGAGTGACGTTGAGGAGGTGTCATTTTTTCTCTCGGCTATTCCATTTTTTTTAGGAATGTCGAGCAAGAGCTATTATAGAGGATGGTCTTACATACCAAGAATTCTTCTAAGATAGAGTTCAAAAATTCATGACTGTTGTCAGTCCGAACAACTTGAATAAGAGTTTTGAATTGGGTCAAAATGAAAGTGTGAAATTTTTTTAAAGTGACAGCAGCTTCAAATTTTTCTTTTAAAATATAGACCCATATCATCCAAGTGTGGTCATCAATCAAAATAAGAAATCGTCGTTTATTGGTGTAGCTAGGGGTGCGAGAGCGCCCCCATAAGTCACTGTGAAGAATAGAGAAATGAGCGGCAGGTGTGCAATTGTGGGGTGGATAAGGGATACGATGATATTTAGCTATCTAACGAGTTTCGCATTTGAAATTAGAAGGATTTTATTACTAAAAATCAACTAATGCAATTGTTTTAGATACTGCAAACTAGGATGACCCAAACGATGATGTAACAACATAATAGGACAACCAGTGGACTGAGATAAACTACAACTACTGGGTGGAGTGTCTTGATTCTCCATATTTTTCTCTTGAAATAAGAATAGTTTGCCAACCCGCTTAGTAGTTTTAATCATCCTCCGCGAACAACAATCCTGAAAGACATAGACATCAGAGGAGAAATGAGCAAAGCAATCAATGTCATACGTTAACTTACTGACACAAAAAATTACATTTCAGTAGAGGTACATGTAACACAGATTCCAGAGTTAGACCTGTTATTAAAATAACATACCCTTTACCAGCAATAGAGCTTTGAGACCCGTCAACAATTTTAACAATATCTTTCCCTGAACAATGATAGCATGTTGAGAAGGCTTGAGAGCTTCCAGTCAAGTGATCTGTGGCTTGAATCAATGATTTATGGACAAGAAGGGGTAAAATAAGTGAATGTCATAGGATTGGTAACTTGACGAACGCGAGAGTTGACGGGCCGATGGAGAGCAGGTTGGATCCAAGCATCTTGATAAGTTGCTCCATTTGACTCTCAAGAAAATTGGAATATTTTGAATTGTTCTGGGTAGAGCTCGGTTGTACCGTGTTGGATTTAAATGTGGTGAGACCCTTGGCAGCGGAAGATTTGGTTGAAGTTTTGGATGTTGGTTTCTCGTGGAGCTTCCAACACTTCTCACTAATATGATTGGGCTTGTGGCAATAATCACACGTGAGATGACCAACCAAGGTTTGAGAAATATTAGATACCAAGACGGATGCTTCGATTGACGCAGTAGAAGCACCAATCATGATAAATCTTCGACTCTCTTCGCGATGAATCTCAGTGAAAACAACACGAGTAGAATGAAGAGAATTTCGACCAAGGATACTTCTCCGAACTTCGTCAGGATCTTTGTTGAGGTCTGCCAGAAATTAGAATATACAACCATTTTCTACAATTTTATGAAAGAAAGATAAGTCAGCAGAAGCTTCTCAAGTGAAGTCATAATATATGTCACATTTCATCCATAATGCAACCAGATCATTATAGTACTGGGTCATGGTCCTGGATCTTTATTTTGCTTCACGAATTTTCTTGGACACCTCATAGAGTTAGCTGAAATTCCCTACATCTGAGTAGGTGTCAGAAGCTGTCATCCAGAGAGCACTAGCAGAAGGAACATAGATGATCGGCTAATCGAAGTCTCCATAGATTTGATCAATCATGACACGACCATGGAATTCTCCACTTCTCAAGCTCCATACGTCGGGTCAGTCTTTGGAGGTTCACATATCATACCAGTGAGATGATTGTATTTCCCACATTCCTTGATAAAAAAAGACGTTGATTGGGACCATTGAAAAAAGTTACTGTCATAGTATATGGGTTCTGATCAAGAAATTTATATTGTTTTTCTATCCGTCGGTGGACTCAAGAACATCTTTTGATAATCGCTAAGTGTTGTAAGTGTTGTAGGAGTTCGTCGTGACTCCGATTGAGCCAAATGAAATGTTAGATTGTCGAGACATCATAAAGTTCCGACTGCTTGCCTCTGGAAGGGTTCTCGTTGGATCTAGCTGGCTGGAAGGTGCCCTAGGTGGCTAGAACAGAGGTTCTGGATGGAATATCCAGAAACAGAGGTTCTGAAGTAGATGGGTCCTCAATGCTGGGAATTGCGGCAAAATTGAAGCTGGAATTCCCTACATCGGCAGTCTCTATAGCAGTGCAGGAACCTACAACATCCAACTCCAGTGTGGGATGTGGGCAGCAACGTGCGACAGATAGTAACCAGGATACGAGATCCAGAATTCCCTAAATCGACAGTCTACTGTAGCAGTGCGGGATGTGGGATCCAAAAACAGAGCGGAAGCAGGAAGCAACTTGCGGAAGATAAAGACCAGAAGGCAAAAGCAGTGCAAGATGCAAGCAGTACGAGATGCGGAAGCCTGAACCAATGCGGCAACCTGCGGCCAACCTGAAACCTGGACAGGGTGCAAAAGTTCAGGCAACTGGAATCAGACTAGCAGGCTGCAAATAAAGACCGGCAGCTAGGTTAGGGCCATAGCTCTAATACCATGTTGGAATAGAACCATGATAGTTCTTATTGATACAAAGAAGGGTATGTATACTCATTAAAGATTCAACTAGAAAGGAAAATAATCACCTCATGATATAATTGAAAGGAAAAGAAAAAAACCTGAACATAATAGAAAAATGAATGAAATCAAAGGAAATAATGCAGAATAATCAGAATTAAATAATGGTTGTTACTAGTTATTAAAATATTCTAATATGTTTGAATAAGAATTATAGGATCAACAGAACCGAAATGTTAAAAAGTTGATACCTCCAAAGTAGAGCTGACCGTGGCTTTCTCATTGACAACCGATCACCTTGGTCTAAGGAATTTGCATACCCAGCTTGATAACTTAACCCCTCTAATATGGAATCATTTATGTTTGTGGTTTTAACAAAGCTGTCACTCTCTCCAACATCTTCCTCCCTCATTGAAAGAAGTATCATCCGAAGCATGCAAAGAAAAGGCTGATCACTGTCCAGCAAGTGGTAAAGGGCAGCCATTCCACCCATACCGGTGCCAGAACCACCACCAATACCAAGTCCTCTACCAATTCCACTTTCATCCAATAGAAGCGCCTGAAGCATGACTATAGATTTATTAACTAGTGGAAGTTCTATCCAGTTTCCACTGGAGTCCCTTTCAATAGCCGATTTCCAGGAGTCCCATCCACTTGCCCCAGCTTCAAATGTTGTTGTACTAGATGGAAGACCAACACCATACCACATTCTGCTTCTTTGTTTCCAACTCTCAGCTAGATCCAAAATACAACTTCCATAAGACACAAAAGCACACCGGACAGACTCAAAAGGCTCAGCTGCAGCTGCTGCAGCAAAGCGCTCCATTACAGCAGCAGAAACCTGTCCATTATCATCTGCCTCTGAAGCTAGCACCTATTTGTCAACGTTAAAATCAGAATGAGTAAAACAGGATAAAAATCATCTAAAGCTTATAAATTTAAGAACTGCACTTCGTAAGATTAGAATTAACATAATGTTAAAAGTTAAACATGGAAGAATTTTCTCATCAAAATAAACGGCAGCAAACTAAACAATCATTGCAATGAATAAGAACTTCATAAACTTGTCAAGCATACTATCAAATACTATGCAGTCAAGTTCCACACAGTTTTACAACTGCTTCAAGGTATAGATACTATAAACATCAATCGAAAGTACAGTTGTACAATGGATGCCTAAAAAATAATATACTTAAAGGTGATACTATTACCCAAGGAGAAAAACGATAGGCAACGAACATTTACACAGTAAAAACCAACCTGAAATGCGTTTCAACAAGTTCAGGCATTCAACACCAAATAAATCACCTTGAAATGAAAAAATCAAGAAATTTACTCTTGCTAGTAGATAAAAGACAATTATCCTACGCAATCAAGTTGTAATATCCCATCAACTAGATGCAGTTACTAGAATAATGATATCTGTCCCAGGATCAAATTTTATAGCAAGAATTAATATTTAAAATTGCACAAATGGGTATTGAGACGTTTTCCGTTCGTAAGGCAAAGCGTAAGTCTTGAGGCAGTCAGAGGCATAAGCCTCCCAGTTAAAAGATTGTGCAAGTCAAAAGAAATGGGTATAAAATAATATATTAACATTATAAGTTCTACATGTAATGAAGAAATAAATTAATATTGATAAAAAATGATAAATTGTATTTATATGAAATAACAAATTACTTGAACAATAAATTTTCATGTAACAACTTATACAAAAAATATATATATAAGGTAAACATGAACTGATCAAATCATCAAACTAACATAAAATATCCAAGTAAGACAAATTAACTTTAGCATAATAAATTTTTCTCACTCATATTGTTCAACCAACATGATAACATCCATAGATTTGAATAAGAACATAATAAATAATTAAAAGTTGGAGCAACAAACAACAACGACCCCAACATGAGTAGCAGTTTGTCATGACCCAACCTGGGGCTTAAAATTAACCAAAACGAAAGTTGGCAGTAGGATGGTGGGAATTATAGTTTTTCATATTTATTTACAATTTAACAAATAAAAGAGTCACTAATCAAATTAAATTAAAACATTAAAAATAACTTTACTTCGTTATTGGTAGTCTGCATTTTTTATAAAGATTTACTTGTCTATCATTCATCTTTTAATCAATTAAATTAACATGAAAAGTTAGTTTAAAAGTAACAGTAAGCTAAATAAGTCAGTGAAATCTCATACCCATAAATTACAGTAATGTAAGGGAAAAGAAAAATAATATGCATGACAATTAATTTTTTTAATAAATTAATGTAAACATTTAACATGTTATTCAACGAATCTTATAATATCAACAGCATGTCAATATTATTTTATAAATGTACAATCGCCACAAATACACCGTCTAAAAATTTATACAAATTAAAGTACTTCAATATCAATATCATTTTCTATATACGTGCACGGGTACTTAGTTTTCCCTCACTAATACCATAAAAGGGTGACTTCATCATAGTCAATCATGCACATACAAACAGTCAACATAAACATATCATTCATGTGTTTATCGCATTTGATTCAACATACTATATGAAGCATACACCAATGCATGATAGTAAGTAGCTATAAACATTCATAACAATAAGACCGATAAAAAAAATAATATCTCAATCAGACTAAAGCATGTGCAAATGTCATTAACTACAAAATAGTTGAGAAGAAATAAAACATTGCTATAGATTAAAAGTACGAGTACTCACATCGATGATTAATTTCTTATTTAATTTGCCTTAATGCAGATTCTTTTAGAAATGAAAGCTTAAAATAAATATGGTATAAATTTTAATTCATTTACTATTTTAATAAACTATTAGCTTTTCATTATTTAAGTATTAAATTTACTTTATACAATCCCGCTTAATTTCTATTATATATATATATATATATATATATAATTTTTTTTTTTTTTGGAAAGAGCCTCGGTGGCTCCCCGTTTCCTTATTTTATTATTAATTAAAACCA